GCTGCTAGCAACAAAAATGACTGGTCTGGCAAGACATGCAATAGAGGCTTGAATCTCACGAGAGTAATCAACCACTTTTTTATTTGGTATAAATCCTTCTTCCACAACATGAAACTCATACCTGGCACTAATATCAGGCTAACGACCCAGGGGTAGACATGTCATAGGTCATAGGGTAGACCCTACTACTGATATTCTGCAAAACTGATTAGTAGTAAACTTATTCTTAGTAACTTATCATTATACCCATAGGTTAATGTATCCTTTAACCCTTACCTAAGAAGCTTTTATGTGAAGTTGATAATGATTAACACAGTGACTAACAAGTGGAATAGTGAACAGAATAAAAGACTGCAGAATGTTCAGCACCTAAAGAGAACATACATCCTGCACTCTCCTTGCAATGCTTAGAGATCATAGTGGAAGAAGATCAGAAAGAGTGTAAGAGCCAGAAGTGATGGGCTGTACGGAAGCAGTATATTCCAGACAAAGCAAGGAAGCTAGACATAAGACATGGTTGTCAGAGCACACATAAAACATGGAGAAGCACAAGCCTGACCAAATCCCATCATGAAGAGGTGAGTTGTGCATGAGGTTCCTGCAGTAGCCAAAATGCTTTTGGCAATTCCTGATGGGAGAGGAAGAGACAATTTTCTCTAAGAGGCCTGATATGTTGATGGTGGTACAGTGGAAGTCCAGATATCCAAGAATATTTGAGTAGCATAAATTGGTCTTGAAGAATTAAGCACACACACACACACACACACAAAATTGGGTAGGAGGAGGGAACGGTTGTGTGGCTCTGGGAAAAGTTGGGAAATGGGAGTTAAATATGGCTAAAACATGTATGAAATTCTGCAATGCGTATCAACAGAATAAATGTAAGATTCAAAGGGTCACACTGGGAAAAATAGCAACAAAATGAGAAGTATTATTCATGGAAAAAATAATTGGGCTAACTGAATAATTTTTTTATTACACAGAAAAGCAATATATGCTTGGACTAATAATGAAAGTTGCTTATATACAGAAATATTTTCTTATTCAATACAGAACATATTCAAATGCAAATCAATTTTCACAATGTGAAAACACTATGCAGAATCGATTGAGGAAACTTTTATAGAAAATGGATTATATAGGCAATAAACTGGAATATTAAATAGATAGAAATATAAATACTGCTACAAATATAAAGTTGTTATTTGGCAATAAAGCATTTTTATTCTATTATAAATAATATCAAATTTCTTTGTGCACATATCAATCATATTTTGGTAATTTTTAATATTTTCTAAGAACTGTCAAAAAATAACATTTCAAAGTTTATATATATAAATTTTTCAAAATTTCTGTAATGAATTTTATTTCCATAAAAACTGTGAAGGTAAGGTATACGTTATGAGTTTCATTAAAGTATAAAGTAAAAGAAAAACTAGAAAAAATCTAATGGCCATTTTTTAAATAAGTACCTTCTTGGTTATGAATTATACTATGAGTATTTCAATCTTTAAATTATTTACTTTCTCTCTCTCTCTCTCTCTCTCTCTCCCCGTGTGTGTGTGTGTGTGTGTGTGTGTGTGTGTGTGTGTTTGCATGCTACAGCATAAGTTGTATGTAGAGGTTAGAGAAAAAAATTGAAAAAGTTCTTTTTTCCCATTACAACATGAGTGTCCTAGGGCTCAAACTCATGTTAACAGGCTTGCTGGCAAATGCTTTTATTCACTGACCATCTCATGGGCCTATATTTTAACTTTTTTTTTTTTTTTAGTAGTTAAGTAATGTATTTCAAGTATTTTTTTAAATTTTTTATTAATTACACTTTATTCATTTTGTATTCCCCCATAAGCCCTTCCCTCCTCCCCTCCCGATCCCACCCTCCCTCCCCTTTCTGCATGCATGCCACTCCCCAAGTCCACTGATAGGGGAGGTTCTCCTCTCCTTTCTGATCTTAGTCTTTGAGTTCTCATCAAAAGTGGCTGCATTGTCTTCTACTGTGGCCTGGTAAGGCTGCTCCCCCCCTCAGGGGGAGGTGATCAAAGAGCAGGCCAATCAGATTATGTCAGAGGCAGTCCCTCTTCCCATTACTATGGAACCCACTTGGATTAATGGCTGTTTCTACTCCCTCTACTGTGGACTAGTGATTTATTCCTTGTAATACAGTATAAAGAAATAGAAATGGAAGACCCAAAGTCAGAGATAAAAAGTTCACCGAGTTACTGGATTCCACTTAATTTTTTTTCTAAATTTCTATTTTCTCAATTCAACAACAACAATAATAATAAAAACTTAGCTATGGAGTTATGTAAAATTAGACATATCTATGAGAACTGAGTTTCTGATCTGGCTTATCTTTGTTCTCTCTTGAAAAGGCCTAACTCTAGTGAATAGAACACTTTTAATTTTTGTTTGTTTTCTTTTCTTTTTAAAATAATTTTTTATTTTTTTTACATTGATTACATTTTATTTACTTTGTATCCAAGTTGTAATCCCCTCCTTTATTCCCTCTCAATTGCACTCTCCCTCATCTCCTCCTATGCCCCTCTCCAAGTCCACTGATAAGGAAGGACCTCCTCCCCTTCCATCTGACGTTAGCTTATCAGGTCTCATTAGGAGTGGCTGCATTGTCCTCCTTTGTGCAATGGCAAGGCTGCTCACCCTCTCACTAGGAGATGATGAAAGAGCCAGCCACTGAGTTCATGTCAGAGACAGTCCCTCTTTTTGGTTTTTTGAGACAAGGTTTCTCTGTGTAGCTTTGGATGTCCTGGACTGGCCTTGAACTCACAGAGATTCACCTGCCTCTGACTCCCCAAGTGCTGAGATTATAGGCATGCACCATTGTGCCCAACTACCTTCTGTTCTTACAAATATTTTCTCATCTTCCTTACATTAAGAGTTTGTGTGTGTCCATGTGCCATGTGTGTAGGTCTGTGTGTGAGCAAATATGTGACTGTATACATATACGTATGTGTATGTGGATATCAGATTTCCACATTAGGCACTTTTTTCTTCAGTCACTCTCCATATTATTCCATGAGACAAGGTCTTTAATTGAAGTCTGTGTTCATAGATTTGGTTAGTCTGGCTTGTCACCAAGGTCCTAGATAATGATTGTCTCTACCTCCCCAGTGTCAGGATCATAGGTGTGTGCTGCCACATGAGGCTTTTACATGGGTGCTGGATTTTCAACTCAGTTTTGCTTCTTGAATAGGGAACACATTACTGACTGAGCCATTTTCCATTTTGAGCTTTTGTATTCTCCTCATCTCTTGTTTAGTGGCAGTGATGAGAGATGCATGAAACATTTTCTTAATAAACTATATCATCGCTTAAAAAGAAGATGCTGATACAAATGATTAAAACAAATACAAGGAGATAATCATCCAATTGTGGTGAGATAATAGTTATTATTTACATCAACTAACAGAATTTTGTTAAGATATTTAATACATTGCCATAAAATTTATTATTATCATTTAAAAACTTCATTATTTCAGAAATATTCATAATTCTTGAGAGATGGTGTTTTTATTTTTTAATTAAATTTGTTATAATTTCTTCACTCTACATCCAGATTGTGATCCTCCCCCTTGTCTTCCCCCAGTCCCACACTTCCTCCCACTTAATTTCTCAGAAAGGGGGAGCCATCTTCCCCTACCATCTGACCCCAGCCTATCAAGCCTCATTATGACTGTTTGCAACCTCTTCCTCTGCGGCATATCAATGGTGCCCTGACCAGGGAGAAGTGATCAAAGATGGGAAAAAGAGTCCATGTGAGAGACAACCCCTGCTACTCTTAATAGGTAACCTTCCTGGAGATTGAGTTGCCTATTGTCTACATCTGAAGAAGGGGTCAATGTCTTCCTCAGGCATGGTCCTTGGTTGGTACATCAGTATCTGCAGGCCCCCATGAGCCCAGATTTGTTGGCTCTGTTGCTCTTCTTGAGGAGCTCCTCTCCGCTTTGGATCCTTCTATATCCCCACTCCTTCCTAAGACTCCCTGTACCCTGGCCAAAGTTTAGCTGTGAGGCTTAGCATCTATTGCCATAACCTACTGTGTCTTTCAGTGGTAGTTCATGGTAGGCTCCCATCGTATTCCCTCTCTTCAACTGCTTCCAGAGTTTATTCTATTTGCCATTCTGAATGAGAATTAAGCATTCTTTCTAGAGTTTTTTTCTCGTTATTTAGCTTCTTTAGGTCTATGGATTGTAGTATGGTTATCCTGTATTGCTGTCTCCTTATATGTGAATATATTCCATGAGTGTATTTCTGGTTCTCAGCTACCTTACTCAGGATGACCTTTTCTAGTTCCAAATTTCATGATTTCCATGTTTTTTTTTTTAAACAGCTGAGTAGTATTCCACTGTGTAAATGTACCACAATTTCTGTATCCATTCTTCATTTGAGGGAAGTCTAGGTTGTTCCCAGATGGCAGCTATTATGAATAAAGCTGCTATGAACATATCTGAGCAAATGTCCTTTTTGTGTGGTGGAATATCTTTTGAATATATGCCCAGGAGTGGTATAGCTGGGTCATGAGGTAACACTATTCCCAGTTGTCTGAGAAAGTATCAGAGTGATTTCCAAAGTGCTTGTATATGTTGTTTGTGGAAATTGAACCTCTTAGCTCACATGGGGTAAGCATGCACATAATACTGAGCTATGTTACTGGCCTAAACTTTAGATTTTTATAAAGATTTATTATTTTTAAAATTTCTTTCTATTGGTAGTATATTGGTGGGATTGAGATATGGAAGACTTATCTTTACACATTGAAATAAGCTTGCAAATAAACAATTGTTGAAATCATTTTTCATGATTTCATGAATAATTTTAATATTTTACAATCTTCTAAAAATTTTCTTGACTAATACACCCCTATTTTAACTGGTATGATTTGGACCACTGAAATTTTAAAAAACAGAAGAAATATATATACAGAACATCATTCAAATGCATTCCTACACAGGATGACAGAATGTAAGAAAATAATCCTGTACCGTGTGTATTCTTCAGAGAGTTAAACTGGAAGGCATCATTTTCATGGAAGTAGCTATCCCAGCCATGGTCAATTACAAGATTCTTGGGTTTTTCTTTATCTATTTAAGAAACAAAGAAATATTATACTTCAGTGTCATACTTTATAAGATAAAATTCTATGAAAATTAAATCCTTTTCAAAGCTAGATGAATATGTTTCAAAGTATGTTTTGACATTTAGTGATATATTTGAAGAACACACTCAACATTATAATTAGTTTTCTATATAACACTAAAATATTTTAAAATCCATTCACAAATGAGTGATGTTTTAATTTTAAGTATTCAAATAACAGACATAGATAATCTATTCATCTAAAATGCATTATACAGTGTGTGTATAACATAGGATAAATGTGTATATATTATAACTTCAATATATACATATCTGGAAGATAATACTAAAAAAATATTTAATCACAGAAGTAAATGACTCAAAATTATTTTGAGTTCATTATAGAAATATCAGTGCTTTAAAGGTGCAATCTTATGGCAAATTGCTGGAAAAGCTTATGACAAGGCTTTTAGTAGAACTAATGAATCAGAGTAACCTGAGTGTATAAAATAAAAAGTTATAAATATTAAGGTATGTAAACAGTAACTAAAGATAGTTAAAATGACTGTAAGAAGTAGAGCCTTAGGTTATTCATCTGAAAGTAGATATAACAATTATTCTATTTTTCCTTTATAGTGTTTCGTAGTGTTAGCTTTTGATGAGGAAATCAAAGATAGATAATGCGATTTAACTGATATATCAAAGGTCTTTTTTGATGCTACAATTTTCCAGGCATGAATCTTAACTCCCATAATACTATTTTTTTAATTATTCACATATGTAAAATTTGAATGTCTGAATTCAGGAGTGATTTTGAAGGTGTGGAGAATCTTCTTATATTTTATGTATAAGGTCATGTTTTTCCCGATTAGCAAATTGTAGTGACTGTTGTAATATTTAACATATTTATTTAACTTTGAATGTGTCTTGGGTATGTTTCTGAGGGTCTCCAGAAACAGCATTTGCATCATCATGCATTAGTGTGATATTATACTATATTAATTGGCACACACATTTTTACTTTAAGTATTGTTTCTAATAAACTACTGACATCTGAAGCAGAGATTAATTTTATTTAAAGATTTTAATTCAATTCTCATTTTGCACTTAAATTTAGATAAAGTAAGAAGATTGCATAATCTCTAGAGTACAACATTTTCAGTAGAAAAATAATTTTTAAAATGCTAATTTGTATATATGAATTATTGCTTCCCTCATTTATACTGCATTTTAGATACATAATTACATAATTATACTGAAATTCCACAGGCAGAATGCAACAGAAAATACTGTGCTATCAACATCCTTGCAAAAATGGAAATACTCATTTATGAAGGAATAACACTATCAATTAAAGAAAACACTAATATTACAAAGTTCATAAATGAGCAGGTCTGAAATTTATAACAGGTGCAAGGGAACCAACATGTATTTGACATGTGTCCTTAAATTAGTATTATGTGTATCTTAGGCCTTGCCCTGATTTCTGATGTTTTAACTCTATATCAGCATGGCTACTCTTCATTTCTTTACTCTATACCAAAGCAAGGTAGAAATTTGGGAGAAAAAGTTTGAGGGTGAGGCAAAAATTACTGATAAAAGATGATTGTTTCAATACCGAGCATTGAGCAGACATATATGTCTAAGTCAATCATGGCCCATAGAGGACACCCTAACATGTATGTGTTAGGTAATGGCCCCATCTGATGGCAAAGTGGAAAACAGAGTTATCAGAACAGCTGACACAATGAGAAAGCAGCGGCATTAAGTTTCAGTTGAAGACCCTGTTCTATTTATGCACTGCATAGCCTTGAATAATTTCTTCTTTTTAAAATAATTTTGATTTTATGTTCATTGGTGTTTTGTTTGCATGTGTGTCTGTGTGAGGGTGTCACAAGCCCTGGAGCTGGAGTTACAGAAAGGTGTGAGCTGCCATGTGGGTGCTGGGGATTGAGCAGAGGTTCTCGAAAGAGTAGACAGTGCTCCTAATCACTGAGCCTTCTAAGACTGAGGTTCTACAAACGAAAAGCATACAGTTAACTTTGACAGTTGTCTGCAAAATTGAACACAGCCCTGAATTCATATAGCTCAAGTGTGGGGTGTACTGGGTTTATAACAAATGCCAAGTTCCTAGGCCATTCTAAATTTTTCCACAAATGCTTAGGTCTCAAAATACTCATTGATGATCTGCATTAGAATTTTCTTCTAATCCTAAGAGTATTTAGGCAGTTTCCTCTGTAGCTACCTTTTGAAATTAGCATACAGTAATATATGCATGGACCCTTAAATCATTCATTTTTTACAGCTTGCCTTACATATTTATTAACTTCAAGCTCCTTTTAAAGGCCTATCTTCATCATTTTTTTCTGTTAGTACTGTGCAACTTCTTGCTTAGAAGCATCTATTCATAAACTGTATGAGCCAGAACTTAAAAGGAAGTTGGGAGCTAGAGTATAACTTTAAAATTTTATAGCTTCCAGAGAATTATATTTGCACAACAATCAAAACACTATATAATTATGGTATACTCCCATGTACATTTATGTCTTCCTCTGATATTACACTCTTAAGTGAATAACATAGTACATAAACAATAAAAAGATGAATCTGAAGTATTAATGAAAGGAAGACTTGCTGAGAAAAGAAGGGCTTGGCGAGACTGGGAGTAGTGGTGACAGTGGATAATGAAGGGGTAGAAATGGCCAAAATACATCTTAAACTAGTATGAAATTGAAAATGAATAATTTTTTTTTACCACAAGAACATAACCAATGTACAGGGCTTAGATATAGCACTCTCAAGTCACCTGTTCAGGGTATATATAATATCCTTTAGAAGTAGCCAATTTATAGAGAAAACTATGAAGTGATACTCAGTGCAATCAACTAATAGTTTTTTTTTAAAACTTCTTCCTGATATAAACTAGTGAAAGTTTCCAACACATTATGATGAATATCCCTATTTCATCTGAAAGTATGAGTATGTGAAATACTCAGAGAGTGAAGTTCAGTAAAATTCTTAGTGTGACTGGGAGAGAGTGTAGTGTATTTTGAGTACAGAGATTTGTTTTAATTAATTAATTAATTAATTTTTTAATTTAGTCCAAATTTTATTTAATTATGACTATTAACAAAAATTCAGAAAAAGTATGTATTCAGAAATTTAATTTATTTTCTCTAAAACATTTTAATGACTACACAGCTTTAAAAACTTGTGTTGTCTTTTTTTTAATTTTAATTTTTATATTAATTACAGTTTATTCACATTATATCCCAACTGTAGCCCCCTCTCTTATCCCCTACCAATCCCACCCTCATTCCCTCTTCTCCTCACATGCCCCTCTCCAACTCCACTGATAGGTGAGGTCCTCCTTCCCTTCCCTCTGACCCTAGCCTATTAGGTCTCATTAGGATGGATTGCATTGTCATCCTCTGTAGCCTGGTAAGGCTGTTCCTTGCCCCCCACCCCAGTGGATGGATATGGGAAAAAGGAGAAAACAGGGAACAGGACACTAGCTTACCACAGAGGGCTCCTGATAGACTCTTTCTACCCTGCAGGGTATCATAGCAGATACTGAGACTCATAGCCAAACTTTGGGCAGAGTGCAGGGAGTCTTATGAAAGAATGGGGAGATAGAAAGACCTGGAGGGGACAGGAGCTCCACAGAGAGGGTAACAGAACCAAAAATCTGGACACAGGGGTCTTTTCTGAGACTTTTACTTCAACCAGTGACTCCTTTGGTTTAGTTAATGAGTAGACTTCAGTGTTCTCAGAGAAAAGAAAGCTTCTAAGTCTATTCACTAAGTCTTTAGCATTTCCTCAATTAAGCTTTTTGTTTTGGATATTTAGGTGACTTGCAAGGAATTATGTTTGTTAAGAAGCTATGTACAATGTTTCTTTCCTGCTCCTTCATTTGATGACTCTGAATGGCCCTGTGAACAGAAACAAATTGCTAGCTCCCCACCCCATCTTTTGAGCTTCTCTCTCTCTCTCTCTTTTTTCAAATTGTATATAATGAGTACGTTATGGGGTTGCTGTTCTGGAGTTTCCCTTGAAATGATTACCAGAGAAGTAGTCTTGAGGAGTGACAGGTGAGGAGTTCAGAAGCCAGACACAAAATCAAAGCATGTCTATAACTATCATACTATCACATGAGTCACTGTTACAGGGAATTAGGATTCAAAGTACATGGGAAACTATAGATCTATATTGAGTACACAATGCAGAAGAACAGGAATATGTGGACTGTGATATTTGTCCACTATTCCCTGGCATCCATTGATTGACTCAGTGGCACTTCCAGCTTATCCTGGCTAGGCAGAAAAAGCTCTTGCAGTCAGAGGAAGCAATCAGACAAATTCCACGTCATCGGCATTTGAATGATAGCCCAAATTAATACCAGCCTAATAGTTTCTGTCTTAAGATAAGTTGAAGAAAGAGTAGATAAAGTGCTTAGTAAAAATCAGACACAACTTATGGCTGAATAACTGGTGATAACTGTATATCACCTAGTCTATACATAACTGTGTATCAACCACCCAATTTCAAGTGAACAAAATATATTAACCAAAAATATTTTAAAGTTAGGTTCATGTTCTCATGTGCAAATTTTAGAGAACAACATGAATTTGTACTTTAGTGAAAGGCAAAGGCACTCAAGAATTGTGCCCGTGTGAATAGGACAAATATTGTACTTAGGCAATTTTGTGTGTGTGTGTATGTATTTGTTTTTTGTCCTACTCAGAGCAGTTGAGTATTTTAAAAATGTTTTCAATTTCTGAGCCAAATACTACAGCCATGATGATTTTAAGCATAGAACAGTTTTAATTTTGGCATAGCTAAATAGAGATCTGGCATCTCTATTTAGAATAAATAAATAAATAAATAAATAAATAAATAAATAAATAAACAAACATGTCATTTACTTTTCCACAATAACAGGTTTCAACTCCCTGGAACTGTGCTTCTCAACTATAATCTATTCTCTTAATCTGTAAAATCAAATTTATGAATGCATGAAGCACAGATTCTCTTTTGAAAATTCCCAATGCATGTGCGATATTGAAGTATGCATTCCATGATGAGTATATCCTACATTGAAGCTTATAGCTTGGTGTGTTTAACCTGGAGCAACTGCAGAATCCAAAATACTAGGAAGAGGCTATCGGTGGTAGTGGCAGGCAGGGGAAAAAAAGTTCTTAAGGGGAGAAGTATAGTAAAAAATAGGTAATATGAAAATGTAGAGGAATAACTGGTGTGAAAAATTTTAAGCAGGAAGGATAGGAGAGGAGAGAAGAATTTGTTAGAAGAATACCTACTGTATTATAAATCTCTCTCTATCCATCCATCCAGATGTAGTGGTTATTAAACAAAAATCCAGTGCCATGTGTGAAAAACTTTGCATTATTGATCAGGGAGGTTCCATGACCCCTAAAACAGTGTCATTAAAAGTTCTATAAACTTTCACATAATAAGAACTGGAATATTTGAGAAATATCACAAGAATCTTACATAGCACCTAACTCATATGTGAATTTAAAAATAAGGTCAGAAGACTTTTAATTGATGCATAGATTCTGGATTCACTAATTGAGAGGTGTGTTTCAGCAATCATATTTTACTTCTTAGTTTTATGTGTTCTATTTTATGAAATATTTTTATTCTATAATAAAAATACAGATATCTACAAAATTTAAGAAAAATAACCTACTTGTTAATATGAGATCAATGGAAACATCTTCACGAGTAGGATTTTTGAAATTTATCATGACAGATGCTTTAAGGCCAAGGACTGTGGTTACCCTTTGTACATCTAGAGGCCTGGGGAGCAGTCCTACTCCAAGCAGGTGGAATTTCCATTCTTTAAACTGTTTTTAAAAAGAAATAACTGTAACTTAATATATAATTTATTTTCAAGATTTATATAACTTTTCATTGTTCTGTTCAATGTTTTTCATTGTATATGGAGTCAAACAATGACATTTTCTTATAATTATACACTTTGAGCATATTACCTTGTATCCTCTGCTACTATGACCTTTCTTATACCCCGTTCCCTTTCATTGTTCTTATTATTTCCCTAGATAGTTTTGATTCTAATTTCATACCATATGTACATATATGCTTTTATTTAATATAGAGTCTAGGAACCACAAATGAGAGAAAACATGTAATATTTGCTTTTGAGACAAAATGAGTTTACTCAGTATTATTATCTATAGTTGCATCGTTTGTATAATGTAACTTTACTACTTATAGCTTAAAATATGTCTCTGTCTCTCTCTCCATTCTCTTTCTCTCTCCATCCTTTTATGTGTCATATTTTTTATCCATCTTTTCTTGTGCTGGCTAGTTTTATGTCAGCTTAAAAACATGCTAGAGTTATTGGAAAGGAGGGAGCCTCAAATGACATAAGATAAGATCATAAGATAAGGCTATAGGCAAACCTCTGGGAGCATCCTCTTATTTCATTATAGATATGGGAGGGCCCACCCCATTGTGAGTGGTGCTACCCTAGCCTGTTGGTCTTGGGTTCTATAAGAAAGCAGGATGAGCAAACCATGAGGAACAAGCCAGTAAGCAGCACTCCTGCATGGCCTCTACCTCTTGTCTCCCATCTGTCTCCATGTTCCTAACAGGTTTTTGTTCCTATCCTGACTGCTTACAATGATTAACAGTAATGCAGAAGTTGCTTTGGTAATGGTGTTTCATCATAGATGAAAGAGATCTGAAAACAAGAAACTCAGACGGCCAAGAAACACTTAAAAGAGATGTTCAAAATCCTTTAGCTATCAGAGAAATGCAAATCAAACTATTTTGAGATTTCCTCTTACACAGCTCAGAATGGCTAGGATCAGTAACAAATGACTACTCATGTTGGAAAGGATATGGAGAAAAAGAAACACTAATCCATTGTTGGACGGACTGCAAAGTCATGCAGCCATTATAGAAATCAAAGTGGCAGTTCCTCAGAGAGATGAGAAACCATCTACCTTAAGATTCACCTATACTATTTAATTTAAGACCTCTGTGTCATTATTTCTCTATTTAGCTTCTGTCTCAATGATCTGTCAGTTGCTGAGAAGGGGGTGTTAAAGTCTCCCCCTATTAAGGTGATGGAATTGACATGTGATTTAACCTTTAATAATGTTTCTCTAACAAATACAGGAGCCCTTGTGTTTTGGGCATAGATGTTCAAGATTGTGATGTCTTCCTGGTAGATTTTTCCTTTGATGAGAATGAAGTGTCTCTCTCCATTTATTTTGATTAATTTTGATTGAAAGTCTATTTTATTAGACACTAGGATGAGTACTCCAGCTTGATTCTTGTGTTCATTTGCTTGAAAAACCTCTTTCCAGCCCTTTACTCTGAAGTAGTGTCTTTCTTTGTTGCAGAGGTGTGTTTCTTAAATGCATTTGAATGCTTGATCCTGTTTCTGCTATCATTCTGTTAGTTGGTGTCTTTTCATTGGAGAGTTGAGACCATTGATGTTGATATTAGTGACCAATGATTGTTAGCTCCTTTTATTGTGGAGTTAGTGGTGATTGTGTCTGCATGCTTGTTTTCTTTTGTTGTTGTGTTGCTGTCTTTATCCTTTGTTTTCTTGGGTTTGTTGTTTTTTTGTGCTGGAGTTTTCATTTTAGACTCTTTTGTAGGGTTGGGTTGCTGTGCAAATGTTGTTTAAATTTAGTTATGTCATGGAGGATTTCATTTTCTCCATCAATGTTGATTGAAAGCTTTGCTGAATATAGTAGTCTGGGTTAGCATCTGTGGTCTCTTAGTTTCTGAACGGTATTTGCCCAGGCCCTTCTTGTTTTCATAGTCTCTGTTGAGAAATCTGGTGTGATTCTGATAGGTCTACATTATATGTTACTTGGCCTTTTTCTCTTGTCCCTTTTAATATTTTTCTTAGATCAATAATCAATAAATGGGACCTCATGAAACTGAAAAGCTTGTAAAGCAAAGGACACTGTCAACAGAACAAAATGCCAGCCTACAGACTGGGAAAAGATCTTTACCAACCCTACTTATGTCTGACAGAAAAATAATATGCAGAATATATAAAGAACTCAATAAGTTAAATACCAACAAACCAAATAATCAATTAAAATGAGGTATAGAGCTAAACAGAGAATTCTCAACAAAGGAATATTAAATGGTAAAGAAACACTTAAAGATGTGCTCAGTGTACTAAGTTATCATGGATACAAAAATCAAAATAACCCTGATAATCTATCTTATATCCATCAGAATGGCTAAGATCAAAAACTCACTTGACAACACATGCTGGAGAGGTTGTGGAGAAAGGGGAACACTCCTCCATTGCTAGTAGGAATGTAAACTTGTACAACCACTTTGAAAATCAATTTGGTGCTTTTTCAAAAAACTGGGAATAGTGCTACCTCAAGACACAGCTATGCCACACCCAAAAGATGCTCATCTCTATGACAAGGACTATTGCCCAGCTATGTTCATAGTACCTTTTTTTCATAATAGTCAGAATCTGGAAACAACCTAGATGTCCCTCAACCAAAGAATGGATATAGAAATTGTCCTACATTTATACCATGGAAGACTACTCAGCTATTAAAAACAAGGAAATCATGAAAATTTCAGGCAAGTGGATGGAACTGGGAAAGATCATTCTCAGTGAGGTATCCCAGAAGCAGAGAGACATGCATGGTATGTACGCATATGTAAGTGGATATTAGCCATATTATATAGGATAAACATACTAAAATCTACAGATGTAACAAGCTAAATGACAAGGAGTATACTAGGAAAGATGCTTAATTCTCATTCAGATGGTAAAACAGAGTAGACACTGGAAGCGGTAGAAGAGAGGAGACAGAACTGGAGTCTACCACAGGTGTTCTCTAAAAGACTCCAACTAGCAGTGGTTTGAAGTAGATGCAGAGAATCATAGCCAAACTTTGGACAGATTGCAAGTGGTCTTATGGAAAAGGGAGGGTGTATAAAAGCACTAGGACGGGAAAGGAGCCACACTAGGAGACCAACAAACCCAAAAAATAAAAATAAAAAAGCAGGCCCAGAGCTAAGTACAGAGATTGATGCATTAACCAAAGAACATACATACAGTGGACCTAGACTCCTGCTCAGATGTAGCCCATAGACAGCTCTGTCTCCATGTGGGTTGCCTAGTAAGAGGATAAGAGACAGTCTCTGACATGAACTCGGTTACCTGCTCCTTGATCATTTCTCCCTTGTAGGACAACTCAGCAAGTACACACAGGAAGAGGATCCAGGCAGTCCTGATGAGACCTGATAGGCTAGGGTCATGCAGTAGGGGAGGAGGGCTTCTCCTATCAGTGGTCTAGGGAAGAGTGATTTAGGAAGAAGAAGGATAGAGAGTGGTACTTGGAGGAGATGAAGGAGGGTGCTACAATAGGGATGCAAAGTGAATAAATAATAATAATAATAATAATAATAATAATAGAAATAAAAATAATAAAAAGATTTGCCTATATCACTCTTGGTCATATCTTCAAAGAATGATTCATCCTGTCAAAGATATGTTTGCTTCAAACATTTTCATTGTGGCTTTTTATGTAATAGCCAGAAATTTGAAAAAACTGAGATGTGCCTCAAGAGTTGAATGGATAAAGAAAATATAGTACATTTACAAAATGAAATACTACTTATAAAATGAAATATTACTTAGCTGTTAATAAATAATATCTTCAGCTGGGTATGTTGGCATATGCCTATAATCCCAGCACTCATTGAGGCAGATGCAGGTGGATCCCTGTGAGTTCGAGGCCAGCCTGGTCTACAAAGTGAGTCCAGGATAGTCCAGGCGACACAGAGTAGAGAAACCCTGCTTGAAAAACCAAAATAAATAAATAAATAAATAAATAAATAAATAAATAAATAAATAAATAAATAGATAGATAGATAAGTAAACAGATAAAAATTGTCAAATTTCTAAGTAGATCGGTGGAACTATAAAACATATTTCTGAGTGAGGGAACTCAGACCTAAAAAAGACAAATATGTGTATTTATTCACTTATATGTGGAGTTAACTGTTAAGTCATTGATAATTAAGAAACAATCTATTAAATTCTTAGGATAGGTATATGGTAAAGAACTATGGGTGGAGTGATGAAAGGTACTGATTGATCTCAATTAGGAAAGGAAATTAGTATGAATAGATAGGTATCAACAAATGGGGGTATTGGAATCAGGGTGTCAAATGCAAAGGGGAAGGTAAGAAGAGGAATATAGAAGGAATAGGGGCGAGATGGCTAAAATTACTGGGCATTTGAGGTGTATACTAATAAAGTGAAAGCTTTCTAAACTATATTCATATATAAAGGCCATCTAAATGAAATTGCCAAATAATTGGGGAGACAAAGCCCCAAGAGGCCATTTCTTGTTACCAAATGAAGCTTCCAATACCAGGATTGGGTTACTTCTATTTGAATTGTTGATGAAAGTAGTTCCATGGGAATCCCCGAATATCCCTGGCTATTGCGAAGACTGTAAATTGTGCTCCACAAATGATGGCAAAGGAAGGTTCCATTGCTAGACAACTCCTATATAACTCACTGAACATGAAGAAGTTGGGGTTTTGCCTACATAGAGCCTTCAAACCTACATGTTAGTATCTTTGTTATAGTAAGGTATTCTACAGGGTACCAAAAGAGAAATGTAAGCACAAATCTATCCACAAACTATTTGATCTACAATGCTGTCCTGCCTGTAAGATATACTTCTGTTATAAACCAACCAAACAACCAACAAAACAAAGTACTATGCCAATAAAATGACTCATACAATTGTGTATGGATAAAATAAATGAGGAGCAGTGTTAGAAAACCAAAATAACACAATTGAAAACTGAAAAATACATTTTAAAATATAGACCATAGGAAAGTTGACCATATTTTCTGTTGACAATTTTCCCCCTTATTAGTGATGTGGCAAGATAACTTTTCTTAGAGGTTCTGGTAGCATGATTAATTCAAGATATTTAGAGCTAATATTAGAATTTGGGGATTCTGCCAACTAGAGTGCAAGGCAGATTTTCAGGACACAGGCTGTTCATATGAATGTAAACCAGAAGCAAATGAAAGATAATAAACCATAGTCTTTTCTCTCAGTTCAGGCTACTTTTTGGAAATAATTAAAATTTGTTTGACTAGTAATGCCCTTATTTTAGATTAATTAGCTATTCAGTTTTGCATGTCAATCACACCCAGAAAGGAATATAAATTCATATAAAATTTTCCACAATGGTAAAGAGTTATTTCAAATTATTAGGATTCCAAAATACATTACAAAAGCTTACATTATTCTTTAGAATCTTGGGCACACATAATATGCACCGCTCATAAAATTAAAATGAACTACTTTTGAACTACTTTTACTTGCAAAAAATATCAATGTGATTAATTAAACAAAAATATGTGAATCATTGAGGGATAACAAAGGGCAAAAAAAAGCACAGAGTTTAGAAGGAAACATTGGAAAAGTTAAAAGTTTTAGGCTCAGTAGTTGAAAAGATGAATTATTGGTTCAAATTTAACCATTGAAGAATGAAGATTTTTAGCAGGTAGAGAGTGGGTAGTCAGAGTGACTGAAATCAAGAGCAGTGTTCAGCTGATTTAGGAGATGTTAAAATGAGTATTTTGTTTTGTTTGGTTTGGTTTTCCTTTATTTCACACTTGAGAAAGAACTTATTGCTCAATTATTAGGTTTAAAGACCATAACACATCTTATTTAGCTGTTTAAAGATTGCTAATATATACTACTCTATTTTCAAACATTTAATGATTTGCAATGAAAATGTTGTACTTGCAAATGATATTAACTGCGTGAATTGCACTTATCTATGTACTTTTTTGAAACTCATTAAATCAGCTTCATCTGAGAACTAATCATACCTGAGTACAGTAGAAGTTAATACAAGTTTCATGACCCTCTCTCCCAAGTCCTGATGGTTTAAAGTAAACAGGTAGCTCTGTGGTAGAGTGAGGTAGGAGGACCAACTGAGAATTCAGAAAAAAAATCACAAGAAAAACAGAAATAAATACTTTTGTTGAGGTGGAATTTTTAATGTGCTATGTCTATGAAAGGGTGGAGTTTGCACAGTAGATTTTAGGAGTGGCACACATTATTTGTTTTTGTATAACTGCTCTACAAATACTGATTATAAGGATGCGAAAAACACTATTTGTTATGTTAGTTCTCAGACCATATTCTTTCTCCTCATAATGATCACGCAAGATTTACTCACTGTATATTAAGATATCAGAATTAATCTTAAGAGTTTATTTAAGCAAGGTGGTGGTGCCAGCCATGCAGGGTATCTGAACAGGAGCTCAGCAGTGAGAGCAGGATGACCAGCAGGCCATACTGTGAACCCCAAAACCCTGACATCTGTGTTTCTCAGGTGAATGGAGAATCCATGGGGGTACTTGAAGGTCCATCTTCAGGCCAACCTGCTAATACTGGGGAAAATTCCCAGGCTCCCAACTGGCATTGCCTCAGCCCTAATCTACTAGCTCAATACCACCATCTACTGATACCTTGCCGAGACTGGCTGCAGCTCTCTAGGTTCTGACTGTACAGCCCTAGGCCACTTGCCCAAACTCACCATCAGTAGATATATTTCTGGGACTAACAGCAGCTGCACATGCGGAGGATGAGAGGGAAGGCTCCTAACCCTGCAGCCTTAGACCACCATCCTGAACCCACTTGGACCCACAGCAGAAGCAGCACTTCACTCCACTCTGACACCCCAGCCGTAGGCCAATCATCAGAACCCACCATCAGTGGATACTTTCCTGGGACCTGCAGCATGCACACAGGGCTCTTACCTTAGAGCCTTAGGCCACCCAGCCACCCAAACACATCATCTGTGGATACCTTCCAAGACAGGGTAGCTGAGGGACATTCCGGCATTCGCGGTTCTGGCCCTGCAGCTTTAGGCCGCCCACCACCCAAGCCCACTTTCTAGGGATAACTTCCTGGAACCAGACCGAGGCAGCTCTGACCATAGGCACTCACTCTCACTGCCTGTGGAGTGAATACCTCCCTGTACTGTTGGTGAGACTCCAAATCCAAACCTAGGCGCCCACTCTCAGGTGTTCTGGGCCCTAGAAGTTCCTGTTTCCAATACCGGTGGGCCACACTCTACATCCTGTGACACCTTCTTAGTTGCAGTGGTTAGTGGTGCTTACCAACCAGTGGAGGGGATACATTCTGGTACAGTGGGGAAGGCTCAGATCCTTTCTGCCTACTCCCCTCATGCCTGGTTCACCCAGGTCAGAATCAGCCAGAACAGAGATATGTTTGGGTTCCAGGTTCCATTCCCCATAATCTAAAGGAATCCTGTGAGACACTGGAACAGCTATAGGCAAAGAGGTCTGTCCACCAGTGCCCTATCAGCCTGGCTCACAAAGGCCAGAATCAGTGAGACCAGCACAGACAGAGGACCCATTGGAGCTGAGCTAGGCACTTGACCCACATTCCATCGTCCTCCTCCTCAAGGAGGTCTATTGGGCATTGGTGTAGCTCTAGGCTCAGAGATCTTTCTGCCTGCACCCCAGGAGCCTATCCCACCTGAGCCAGAAACAAAGCTTCCAGCACAGCAAGTGAACCCAGCAAATCTCAGCTAGGCCTGCGGTCCAAATCCTATCCTCCACATTCTAAAGAAAGCCTGTGGGATACTGGAGCAACTCTAGACCCAGAGATCTTTCCACCTGTGCCTTGGCTACCTGGGTCACAAGCAGTGAGCCAACAGAGAGAGTGAATCCAGGGGAGACTACTCAAGACTCCAGAGACAGGTGGATCCAGTCTACAGAAAAGGCACCAAGAATAATCAGTAAAGGCTACAGACAACCAGATGGCTAGAGGCCAGTGTAAGAATACAGGCAACAAAAACCAGCACATCATGGCTTCATCAGAATCTCCAAAAATCAATGGATATTCTATTGCAGCTGAAACACAGGAAAACAGTCTTAAATCTATAATTATACAGTTATTCGAGGCACATAAAGAGGAAATGAAAAAATAATAGAGGCCATCATGGACAGACAGGAGACCACATTCAAACATATGAAAGAAATAGTGCAAGATATGAAAACAAAATTAGAATAAATAAAGAAAACACAAGCAGAGAAAACCCTGGAGCTGGAGAACTTAGAGAAAAGATCAGGAACCACAAAGATAATCATCACCAGAAGAATACAAGAGACGGAAGAGAATCTCATACGCTAAAGATATAATTGCAGAAATTGATACATCTCTCAGAGAAAAAGTAAAATTGGAAAAGTTAAAAATACAAAACATCCAAGAAATCAAGGACACCATGAAAAGATGATACCTAAGAATAACAGAAGTAGAAGAAAAAGAAGATTGCAGGCTCCAAGGCCCAGAAAATTATTTTTGAGAAGGTCATAGATGAAAATAACCCCAACCTTAAAAAAGAGATGCCCATAAACATACAAGAAGCTTACAGAACACTAAATAGACTAGACCAGAAAAGAAAGTCCACCATCCACATAATAATCAAAACAGTAAATCTACAGAACAAAGAAAAATATTAAAAGCAGCAAGGGAAAAAGGGCAAGTAGCATATAAACACAAACTTATCAGATCACACCAGACTTTTCAACAGACACTATGAAAGTCAGAAGGGTCTGGGCAGATGTCATGCAGATATCATAGATGTCAACCCAGACTACTATATCCAGCACAAATTTCAATAAAAATAGATGGAGAAAACAAACTACTTCATGACATAACTAAATTTAAACAATATATATGGAACAATCCAGCCCTACAGAAGATAGTAGAAGGAAAAATTCATCACAAGGAGATCAACTACACCCAGGAAAACACAGGCAAATATACCATCTCATTGAAAAAGCAAAAGAAAGCAAACACACAAACATACAATCACTACCAATTCCACAGTAAAAGGAACTAACAATCATTGGTCACTAATATCTATTAACATCAATGGTTTAAACTCTCCCATAAAAAGACACAGACTAATAGATTGGTTACAGAAACAGGATTCAACATTCTGCTGCATTCAAGAAACATACCTCTGCAACGACGATAGACAGTACCTCAGAGTAAAGGGCTGGAAAAAAATTCCAGACAAACAGACACAAGAAGCAAGCTGGAAAAGCCATCCTAATATCTAATAAAATAGACTTTCAACCAAAATTAAGCAGAAGAAGTGAAGAGGGACACTTCATTCTCATCAAAGGAAAAATTTACTAGGAGGACATCACAATCCTGAACGTCTATGCACTAAACAAAAGAGCTCCTTCATTTATCAAAGAAACATTATTAAAGCTTAAATAACACATTGATCCCATCAACCTTATGGGGGAAACTTCAAAAGCCCACAATTGCCAAAGGATAGATAATTCAGACAGACGCTAAACAGAGAACTAATGACACTTAAATGGATCTGATAGATGTTTACAGAACCTTTTACCCAAACACAAAAGACTATACCTTCTTCTCAGCACCTCATGGAACCTTCTCCAAAACTGAACATGTATTTGGGCAAAAAGCAAAAACTCCTCAACATATAGAAGAAGATTGAAATAATCCCTTGTACCATAACAGAGCACCATGGTCTAAACCTAGACCTCAACAATAACAAAAGTAACAAAAAGCCTACACACACATGGAGACTGAATAACTCTCTACTCAATCACACCTGGGTCAGGGAGGAAATAAAGAAATTAAAGACCTTCTAGTACTTAAAGAAAAATGACTGTATAACTTACCCTAACTTATGAGACCCAATGAAAGCAGTGCTGAGAGGAAAGTTCATAGCATTAAGTACCTTCATAAAGAAATTTGAGGCATCTCATACAAGGAACTTAATGGCAAACCTGAAAGTACTAGAAAAAAAAAAGAGGCAGACACACTCAAGAGAAATGTTATTAGAATATATTAGAATACGTTATAAACAAAGAGAACAATTCAAAGAATCAATGAAACCAAGAGCTGGTTCTTTGAGAAAATCAACAAGATCGACAAACATCTAGCCAAACTAGCTAAAAGGCAGAGGGACACTGTCCAAATCAATAAAATCAGAAATGAAAAGGGGGACATAACAACAGACACTGAGGAAATCCAAACAATCATTGGGTTCTACTTTAAAAGCCTACATGAAACAAAATTTGAAAATCTAAATGAAATAGGAAATTTTTTTGATAGATTACATTTACCAAAGCTAAATCAAGATCAGTTAAATAAATTAAATATTCATATATCCTCTAAGGAAATAGAAGCTTTCATCAAAAGTCTCCCATCCAACAAAAGCCCAGGGCCAGATGGTTTCAGCAAGATTTCTACCAGACCTTTCAAGAAGAGCTAACACCAATACTCTTCAAATTATTCCATGAAATACGAGCAGAAGGAACATTACCAAAATCACTCCATGAGACCACAATCACCTTCATACCTAAGCCGCACAGACACTACAAATTAGATAATTTCAGACCAATCTCGCTTACAAATATTTATGCAAAAATACTCAATAAAACACTAGGAAACTGAATCCAAGAATATCATTCACCATGACCATGTAAGCTTCAACCAAGGCATGCAGGAGTGGTTCAACATATGAAAATCTATCAATATAATCAACCATATAAGCACACTGAAAGAAAAAAAAAATTACCATCTCCTTAGATGCCCAAAAAGCATTTGACAAAATTCAACACCTGCACATTTAAAGTTTTGGAGAGATCAGAGTTACAAGGCACATACTTAAACTACACACACACACACACACACACACACACACACACACACACACACACA